CCCGCCGGCATCACCGCGCCGCGCACGCGCACCAGGAGGACCCGCGGTCGCGGTCGCCCTCGCCCCCGCCCCCGCCCCCGCCCCCGCCGCGTCGCGCGCGCCGGGGGCCGCCGTCCGAGAGGGAGCTCGCGGCGCGCACCATCCAGGAGCACTTCCGCCGCTTCCTGGCGCGGCGCTCCCGCACGCTGCGCCAGCTCAAGGAGCTCGCCATGCTCCGCTCTAAGGCCGCGTCCCTCCGGGCGGCCCTCTCCGGCTCCGGCCGCCGCCGGTGCAAGGACCCCATGGCCGTCTCGGAGGCCGCCCTGGGCATGCTCTACCGCCTCGACGGGATCCAGGTGATGCAACGACCTCTGTTCGGTCCCATCGGTTATATGCCATTGGTGTGGGGTTTTGATGCTGGATTTCGGACCAGGGAGGGGACCCCATGATCCGGGAGGGGAAGCACGCCGTGAGCCGGGAGCTCGGCCGGATACTGGAGTTCGTTGACAAGGTGCTCCTCAAAGAGCAGGAGGAGATGGGCGTGGACGGCGCATTCGACGATTATCCTGAAGGTTGTCATGGGATGAATCGCCCAACTGTGAACAGGAAGGTAAGTTTCCGCGGTAATGAGGCCAATACCGAGGCTGATGAGAGCTCTGAGAGCTTGAGTTCTGCCGAGGCCGATGAGAGGAAGGCTGCAAACAGCAAGAAGAGTGCCAATGGCAAGCCTGGGCTTGCAGCCCCAGTGCCAGTACACATGGAGTCAAGGAGAACTGGAGGGGAAATGTGATAACTCGGTCTCGCATCTTGTAATGTTACCTCATGTTTAGAATCATGTTTCTTGAAATTAGATTGGAGCCTGCTAGTTGGTAGAGTTTGTGCTGCAACTACGATGTTTAGACTGTTGTATTACCTCTCTTGTCACATTTGTCTCTGCATTGTACCACTGGTAGTTTTGAACATTCAGAATCTAGATTGGATCATTTTGTCACACACGTGGACCATTTTGTTGCACTAATTATGTCATGTTTCTTGTGGGATCTTGGTCAAACAGCATGTGTTTAGGTGAGCTGTACGTCATGCTCATCTCCTTATCAATGAATTGGAACATGTTTACACAACTGCACCTTGTTCTGATGTTGTCATTAATAGTTCTAGATCGCTTCTTGACCTTGACAGATTGAAGTTGTGGCTTTATCCTTTGACCCGCTTGTTAATTATCGCATGGGGTCAGTTTGGTTATGCCTACGTATGCTGCTTACATGTGCTGGGTAAGTGTTTCTCCATTAGTTGGGCCATCCATGTGATGATGTTTTCAGCCATAACTTGTAACAAGTTTTCTCTGGTGGTTTCATCGTTAAGTCGGTATTGTCTGAATCTGTTGAATGAAATCAACTTTTCCCATTTTGGATCTAGAAAATAACATTTTGTTTGGGGCCCGCTAATTTTTCTTGCTTCGTCTGATCGTTGGGCCTGGTTTCTTATACAGGGTTGATCATTTTAGCAGGACGATGAAAAACAACATGTGAATCACAGCAGGCCTTGAGTCTCTTCGGTGCTCAATATACACCGTCAGGTAGGCATTTATAGCATGACCGTACAGGGTTCTTGAAATTAGAAATGAATAAGAGCCGTTACTGGCCTGTTGCTAGAACATGTGACTTACTAAGGCTGAGGTGATGCTAGTTTTTGTATGCTGAAAGATTCATGTTGTTTTAACGCTTCAATAGGGGATCTGCGTTGTTTTTCGCAAATGTGTATTTTCTTTAGTTTTTGAGATTTGTGATAACTCAGTCTTTCACTGAATGCTACCTCATGTTTAGGATCATGTGGATTGTCTTGCTCTTACAGTACTAAGGTTCTTCTGCACCGGTATTTCTCGAGAAAAGATTGGAACCTTTTAGTCGGTAGGGTTAGTGCTGCAACTACTATGTTTAGACTGTTGTATTGCATCTCTGTTACATTTGTTACTGCATTCTACTACTGGTAGTTTGAACATTGAGAACATATATTGGATCATTTTGTTGCACTAATTTTGACATGGTTCTTCTGGGATCTTGGGCAAACAGCATGTGTGTTGTTTGTCAAGGTCATTTTTGTCAATGAATCAGAACGTGCCTACACAACTGCACTGAGTTCTGATGTTGTCATTAAGAGTTCAAGATCGCTTCTCAACCTTGATTGATTGAAGTTGTAGCTTTATTCTTTGGCCCACTTGTTGGTTATTGTATGGGGTCAGTTTGATTGTGTCCACGTATGCTGCTTACATGTCTCGCATAATGCTAGTGTTTCTCCAGGAGGTGGGCCATCCATGTGATGATGTTTCGAGCCATAAGCCCATAACTCATGACGAGTGTCTCTGGGTGCTTGTTAAGTCGGTATTGTCTGAATCTGTTGAATGAAATCAGCATGCCCATTTTGGATCCGGAAATATAATCTTCTTTGGGCCTTGCTAACGTTTCTTTGCTGGGCCTGGTTCGTTATATGGGGGTTGATCATTTTAGCAGGACTATGAAAAAAGGACATGTGAACCGCATCTTGGATCATGTTTAGACTATTGTTTTCTCTCTCTGTTACATTTGTTACTGCATTGTACTCCCTTCGTCCCGAACTAAGTGTCTCAACTTTGTACTAAAGTTAGTACAAAGTTGTACTAAGCTTGAGACACTTATTTTGGGACGGAGGGAGTACTACTGATAGTTTTAAACATTGAGAGTCTAGCTTGGATCATTTTGTTCCACTAATTATGTCATAGTTGTGGGATCTTGGGCAAACATGTGTTTAGGTGAACTATACGTCATGCTCATCACCTTATCAATGAATCAGAACGCGTCTACACAACTGCGCCGATTTCTGATTTTGTCATTAATAGTTCTAGATTGCTTCTTGACCTTGACAGATCGAAGTTGGTGCTTTATCCTTTGGCCCGCTTGTTAATTATCATATGGGGTCAGTTTGGTTGCGTCTACTTATGCTGTGTACACGTGTTGCATAAGTGTTTCTCCATTAGTTGGGCCATCCATGTGATGATGTTTTCAGCCATAATTCAGTAACAAGTGTCTCTGGGTGTTTCATCGTTAACTTGGTATTGTCTGCTCCGTTGATTGGAATCATCTTGCCCATTTGGATCCGGAAATAAAATTTCGTTTGGGCTTTGCTTGCGCTTTTTCTTTTTCTTTTTTCCTTTTTTGATCGCTGGGCCTGGTTCGTCATACAAGGTTGATCATTTTAGCAGGACCTTGATGAGAAGAACATGTGAACTGCAGCAAGGCTCGAGTCTCTTCGGTGCTCAATATACACTGTCAGGTAGACATTTCTAGCATGGCTGTACAGGGTCAGGGTTCTTGAAATTAGAAATGAATCAGATCCGTTACTGGCCTGTTGCTAGAACAAGCGACTTACTAAGGCTGAAGTGATGCTATCTTAATGTAGTTTTCTGTATGCTGAGAAGACTCATGTTGTTTTAACGCTTCAATTGAGGATCTGTGTTGTTTTTCGTAAATGTGTGTTCTCTGTAGTTTTTGAGACTAGATGTTGTGCCTCTCAATGCTGCACAAGTCCTCGAATAGCTGAACTGATAGATGGAAGTTTGTGGCTGGAAAACACTGAGGTTAGACTC